CTACTCTTTTACCAACGAATAGTGGGATTGACCGTCACATTATAACGCCCACACGGCTGAAAGGGCGAGCATGTTCGGTGTGACGGGGATTCGAACCCGCAGATTGCGAGTCGAGCTCCCTAACCACCTGGCCATGCCGGGCCGTTAAGACACGCATCAACGATATTGTATGTGTCATGATATACAAGACTATTTGGTTCAGATATTACTGATTAATTTATTTTTGTGAGTGAATATTTTATTATTATTATGTTTTTGTTATATTAAGAGTTAAAAGCTGACAATTGTAGGAAGATTTGTTAACAATTCATTGACGTCGAGAATATAGAATTCGGAAAGACGATTTTAAGTGATAAAGATATAAATAGCGTGAAACGAGCGGGAACAGCAGATAGATAATAGCAAAAGAGAATAAAGTTGGTGTGAAGTTACTTACCGTAGAAGTGATAAGCCTATCGTTTAATATGTTAGAGTGAAACTAACAGTAGGAGAGAGGATAAGAAAAATAATTTTATTCCCTCAAAGCATGGGTCTAAAGTAATTGAATTACCTTGAGTGCACTTTGACATAAGGAACAGAGGATCTTACAAAAAAAAAAAAGAAAGAAAGAAAGCCAAACGAGCATGGTTACTCGCGCCACAACTGTAAGGGAATCACAGAGAGTAGTAGTGCGATAGAAATAGAGAAAATAGTTCGGCTTGTCAACAGAAATTCTAAAGTAATTGAATAGGCCGAAGTGGATAATTGATAAAAAGAAGAGAACTACATATATAGTATTTATGATATGTCCATAACATCTATAGTGTTGAAGAATTTATTGCACATAGTTAACTTGTTTTATATATAAATATATATATATATTATTTTGAAAACAAGTGAAGTGTGTGCTGTTTATTCATTGCTGATTTTATCGCTAACAAGTCACAGACACCTACTGTAGAAGAATCCTAAGCCCAACAACAACATAGTATATATTTATACTATTAAGAAATATAACTAAAAGCCTTTCTATTTGACAATTGGCAAAAAGAAAAGTTATATATATATATATTAAATTCTGACATTATGTATGGGCACAGCACAGATAGCCCATTGTATTCCTTTGTGCTTAACAGCAAACAAACGTTCTGTTGCGTCATCGAGGTCACGTGACTGGTGTGGCGCCCTCTTCTTTCTAGAACTATCCTGTATTTTGGCGAATGCTCTAGTATTTACTAGACAGAGGGTAGACTGGTATATAAAAGAGGGTGACAATGTGACGGGAACGGAATGTAATGTGTGTGTAGACAGTGAGTAATTGATCTGCAGTCAGAAGTATTATTAAGCACGTTCGTTGTTATAGCGTTTGTTTAGCGCGATTGTTGAAGTTGAGTGTATCGGTAAAGTTGTATTCGGAAAGAATAAACCAGTTTTATTAAGTAAAGAACTTGTGTCGCTTAAGTTTCGTCGGAACGAAGTTACAGAAAATCAATTAACAAACGGAGACGTAACAGTTCTAAATTAGACAAAAATCTAGTACTTAAGGAAAAGTTGATGATTAGGAGGAGAAAAAAAAAACATGTAAGTACTTAAACATTTTTCTGGGGCCCGGCATCGCCAGGTGGTTAGGTAGCTCGACTCGCAATATGCGGGTTCGAATCCCCTCCACCAAACATGCCCGCCCTTTCAGTAATGGGGGTGTTATAATGTGACGGTGAATCGAACTATTTGTTGATAAAAGAGTAGCCCAAGAGTTGGCGGTGGGTGGTAATGGCTAGCTGCCTTCTCTTTAGTCTTTCACTGCTAAATTAGGGATGGCTAGCGCAGATAACCCTCGTGTACTTTTGTGCAAAATTCAAAACAAACCAAACTAATATCATCCCTTTCAAGATATTCTACAATACAACAGAACTTTCATGCCACTGTAATATCGTCCCTTTCATAGTGTCTACAATAAAACAATGAAAAAAGAATGTATTTCTACAATTTCAAATTCTGGAAACTAAAAACTTCATTAAATTCATAGCATAAAAATAACTGACCGAAGTACAAAAACTTAACCATTTAGACCACGTATTCCATTAGAAGGCACGCAAATATAATCTTGGACATGTTGTAAACAAGAAGGTCACTGGATATAAGCGTCCCAGACTAGCTCTTCCTATGTTGTATTCCTGATTAGAGAGTAGCTATCCAACAGAGCTAACAGCAGACTCATGAACATAGTTGGCAAGAGCGAACTGAAAACTGGCAGGCACAAATTGAAATGACGAAACCACTTTTTCAACAGAAAAATACACATGTTGCTTTACAGGTAAACAAACACTGATTGCAAGAAAATAAGGTAAATGAAAGGATTTTTTTTGTGATTTCTCAAACATTTTGAACATTGACAAATGAATTATTTTTGATATGCATCCGTTTCATTTCGAAGAACAGTGGAGTGTTGAGATAAACTAACACATCAACTGACAGACAGAAGAACTGACTTCACTGAACCAACCAGTCAATTAAGATTGAGTTTTTGATATTTAAGGTTTGAACTTTTAAACAAGTGTAATTCTAAATTTATATACATGAGTCCTGGTTTAAGTAGAATACAGACAAGGTTTTACCATAAGCCATTAAAGAGTGATTAAATATTGTCCAGACTCTAAAATCACCACATATTACAGAACTTTAGACTACAAGTATAGGTACTAGGTATACTACCGTAGTCATACAAACACGTAGTTTGTTGTCTGTGTTCATCTGGAGGAGGGTTTCTACAATAGAAGTAAAGGATTCTACTCGTTAGGAAAAAAGGTTTGGCCTTCCTTACGAAATTCAATGTGAAGTATCAATAAAGTATATGAGGAATTATCTAAAAGGATCAACATGATTAGAATTTTACTATTTTATTTGAAACCAGTTTCAATAAAGTAGAAAAACGATTTTTATCGATAACATATAAAGGTTGTGGATTAATATATTTTTCTAAGTTTTCAATTTTATTTCCAAGACTAACCATACCATATTTTTTCTATAACGTTTAACTACATTTTCAAGTAATTTTGTCGAAGTAAAGTTTTGTTCACACGTTTCGAAAGGTAGTCAATAGCCAATAAAACTTAAAATACTGTCCTTTCTGTATGTTAAAATCATAAATAATATTCAACGTTAAACTGGTACACAATTAAAAACATTTTATTTAGGCCTATCTATGGTCTTCAAAAAGTTCACGACTCTACGTGTTTCTGAGGATGATGTAGTAACTAGTCGTCAACTTTTTTGAAGGTCATTGAATATTATTTATGATTTTAACATACAGAAAGGACAGTATTTTAAGTTTTATTGGCTATTGCACCTTTCGAAACGTGTGAACAAAACTTACTTCGCAAAATTACTTGAAAATGTAGTTAAACGTTGTAGAAAAAATATGGTATGGTTAGTCTTGGAAATAAAATTGAAAACTTAGAAAAATATATTAATCCACAACCTTCATATGTTATCGATAAAAATCGTTTTTCTACTTTATTGAAACTGGTTTCAAATAAAATAGTAAAATTCTAATCATGTTGATCCTTTTAGATAATTCCTCATAT